TTGACTCGAGCCCCTCCCACTTTAGTGTCGACCTCGCCCACTTCTGGGATATGACATTTGTTCTATTACATCTTACCACTTTTTTTCCCGCGTCTTGTACTTTTCTGAACGGAGTTATGTTTATTTTTGGAACGCAGCTTCCATTTTCTGACACGTCCCTCTACCGTGGGCGGAGCCTCGCTAAGTTTACGCATGGTCAGCACGCATAAGGCCTTGCTCATTCCTTGAGTCTTTTTTTCTAGACTCCATGCCTTCATTGAATAGAGCTATGAACTTATATGGTAAGCACCGCCCACTGCAATAGCGCCCCGCCCACCGCTGGTGAGTTCCCTTCATCTCATTTCCTGACCCATCCCTCACCTTTGCTCATTTTTTCCAGGCGTCTGGACTATAAAAACACCGAATGAGGAAGATTCGCCCAAGACACTGCCCACTCTTGTGCATGTCCCGCCCACTGTGGGCGGAGCTCCGCTGAGCTCGCCCACAGTGGGCGGGTCTGGCCCCGTGCTTAACCCATTCCAAACTTGACCCGACCTCTCCAGGTGTTCCTACAGGTAGTATCGAATCTCGTGACAGACAGACAGACAGACGCAAGCGCTTTAATACAGTATAAGAATCTTTGATGTGAAGTCTTTCGAACATTCCAAGGGCATATCCATTTTGCCTAACTACCGATATATATCATTTATACTTAAGGGTTGAAACCTGGAGCTATGATAACAGTCCGGAATGTCGCTCAAAACATTATCGTCATAGCGTTTGCGTTTATGGTATCGAGGATTTCGCCTGGCTTACTAAACATCCAAAGTTGATGGCTAACAAAGTAAGCAGTTCGGAAAGTCGATAGAGGGAAATTATCAAGCATCCGTTTTAGATGATGCCCTCGTTCGACTATGGTGCAGTGGACTGCATGCACGAACTTCTATTCAATCGTACCTATTTGGGACAAGTTGATCAAGTGTGGAATCTGACAATTTACGAAACTCAACCTTATGTGAGTAGATGTTTGAATCACCGTTCTGTTTTTCTCCTCCTCTTCTAGGGCTGAACGAATAACTACCACCCTTGAACGCTCTTAACGATTTCCCTCGAAAACTCTGG